TACATTATTTATTCTGTTCTACTGGAAACAACTGGAAGTGTTTTGGCTCACAGAGGCAGTCCTAACATTATGGACATAAGCAGATATCCTGCCTCAACCTAATCAGAAATCTCTTCTACAGTTTGCCTCTCTCTGCACTCAGGCTGGACTCCAGTAAAATATCAGCTCAAATACACAGGTGGGTATGAAATCCACTCAAGACTTCATTCTAAAGCCCTAATTCAGAATCCAAAAATAAGTAAGATCAAAAGTTGCCAACTTCTTTATCACAATTTCCACTTTCATCAAAAGGGGTCACTGGGGGTCACCCAGTTGCCTTTTCCTGCCTAGTGCAAGGGGTTGGACCCAATGATCTACAAAGTCCCTTCCAGCCCCTAACAATCTATGAAAAACACTTTCACCAACATAACCATGCTCTTCTATGCTTCTTTAGCTTGGTTCAGTAATACAGCAAACAAGTCTTTAGTGAAAAGCTAGCTGCTTTATTAGGATCAGCTGGAATTTCTGTCCTCAGAGCCTTTAAGCAAGATTCATTTGACATTGGCTTCTAGAAAGTAGCTGTTCAATACAGCTGCACGAAATTTCGCCGGGTGTTTTGTTTCGAAGCTGTTTCGATGAGTTTCGAGCTCAAAATAGCAAAATCAATACAAAACAGGAGCCTTCAAAACAGTTTCGAAACAAAACAAGGGCACCTGAACTGTTTCAAAAATTTTGAAACATTTCGAGTTTGGAAGTCGGGCTCCCTTAGATTCAGCGCCAGTCCCAGCCAACAGCAGCAGCCTCCTGTGTCATATGGTGCAGATCCGGGGGCAGTCCCGCCCCCCCCAGGAGGATTCTGGCACAGCCCCCAGCCCTCCCGTGTGTGCAGGACCCCGGATCTGTGTGCCAGATGACAGTATGCTGTCGCTGCTGGCTGGGGCCAGTGGCAGCACCAATCTTCCCAGCACTCAGCACAGACTGCACCCAGCGCCGTCCAGCAGCCAGCACCAAACATCCGCTGTACTCGCAG